AACAAATAACAACTAACAGCCTAAACATGTCTACCACGATGCATCCAAAGATACAAAGGGTGACTTACAAAGTCACACAAAAAAGACTCTCAAAATCCTAAACCGTTATGTTGCACTCAAGATTTTTCTTGTTGTGAATGCTTGTCTTCACTAGAGTTTTCGCCTCCTTAAATAGTAATGCAGACTGGGTTTAGGCTGTGCAAAAGTAACAGCAGGAAGAGAAGATTTCAATCTTCATAAATAGCAGCAGATTTGATTTGATCAATCAAATCTAATCATATCATTCTTCTAATCTTTAATCAATCTTCTGATAATAACTCCATATCAAATCCAATCTGATCCATAATAAGTGTAACAGAAACGCCTATAGTAAGCCACTAGAAATATGCAGATTCTGTACCAGAAAAGTCCATCCAACTTGCACAAAAAGATATGGAAGCACAAACATATTCATGATAGACAGATGTCACGACATCATGTAGGACATCTTGTGATTACACCTAGTTTTACCAAAATGCCTGCCAATCAAGTCAAACTCCAAATCTTCTGCAGAATCTTCTTCATAAAATTAGAAGTAAATATTTTATAGTTTCCTACAAAGTCTCAAAGATCCTTTTTATGAAATCCAATTAAATCTGCACTTTGTTCCTAATAAATCTCTTTGACCTACGCATACTGATGAGGTATATCCAACAAAATCTCATCAAACCAAAACACCTCTGTCAAGAGATATGAAATAGTAGCTCCTGCTATACCAGACAAAGATGTCCTAACATCTGTCTCGACATCTTGTTTGAAACACATGACAGCAGTACTGTCAAAACAGTAGATGAAGATGTTATAACATCTTGCTTAACATTAGTGCATAATCATGTTTTACCAAAATTTAGCTAATCCCAGAAACATGGAACTAACATGTCTGCTATTAATCTGATAAAGAATCTAATAGCACATGGACGAAGCAAGCACATCGAAATGAGGTTCCACTATCATCGTGAGCAAGTAGCAGAAGGGAAGATGAACTTGAAACACTGTAGGACTGAGAATCATATTATAGATATCATGATGAAAGGAGTGCAAGTCGAAATGTTCAGAAGATTAAGAGCTATGATGAAAGATAGCTTAGACACAATGAATTAGGTGGTGTATTGAGAATGTATTTCCTTGTGTCGAAGCAGGCAGTGCTCGACAGAAACAAGGATGTGTTGAAATTAGCCGTGTGTGTGTGTATCGAAATATTGAAGCAAATTGCTCAACAGAATTTCGACTTAGGCCTATTTTAGTAGTGTTAGCTAAATTGAATATTTTTGGACTTTTATGTTTTGGACTTTGACTTAGGGAGCAAGCTAACCTAAAACTATAAATAGAGGGACTAACTCCTATTCTTGTAATAACTTGAACTCACAAAATTTTATAGTTGCAAAGTGAATAATTTTTTCACAGTTTGTGGGTAGAGAGTTACTTTGTGGAAATCACCATCTTCTTCTATGTTTTGTCAAATCCTAATTTTTTTTATTCTACAATTTTTATTTGTTTTCATTGTTATTGTGTATCGATAATAATCTTGTTCATCAAGATTGATAAAATTTTTTCATAGGTTGAAGTGGATTTTCAACAATGATAACCCAAAAATTCTAGATGTCTCTTTCATTAACTAATAACAATAAATAAGTTAGTGAAGGATATGTAGAAAGGAAAAGAGTCCCAAAAATTTTAGTAGGAAAAGTGACCAATTGGCCATCACAATTGTGTTTCCGATAACTAGTGAGATGCACGGGTGCTAGTATGGTATACACATTTTTTGCAAAATATAATAGAAATGATATTAAAAAAAATTAAATTGTTCAACAAAAAAAGTTATTATTTTTAAAAGATATAATAAATTAGCGCATATAATTCATTTCATATATAAAAATATTTGAATTAATAATATATTATTTTATATATAAATATTATTTTTGTTTTGACATTATTTACAAAAATATTAGAATCAATAGTAAATTTTTTTTTATTTATTATTCAATATTTTGATAAGTAACTTCATGTTTCGTTATAACTGTTTTATTTTTGTGTTTTAACAAAGTTGTTCTTGTTATTTTTTCCATTAATCTTTTCGCATATTTGAAAAAATGAACGATAAATTTATATTATTCAATATTTGAAACAATTAATATTATTCTCATTTCTAACAATAATATTTTTTTCTTGTATATATAAATAAATTAATCAACAATGTATTTTTTTCGTATATAAATATTAATTTTGTTTTGACATTACTTATATATATATATATATATATATATATATATATATATATATATATATATATATATATATATATATATATATATATATATATATATATATATATATATATATATATATATATATATATATATATATATATATATATATATATATATATATATATATATATATATATATATATTCAAATTTATATAAAAATATTTGAGTCAACAATTTATTTTTCACCCGTAAGTAAATATTATTTTGTTCAATGACAAACACTTTTATTTATATTTTTTAATTTATTTTAATTGAAAACTTCTGATTTCTTTAAATTAAAAACATTATTCGATGGATGTCACAGTCGTATATTAAAAATAGATGTACCGATTTTAATTTACCCGTAATAAATTTGTTTTATATTTATTTTTAAAAATAAATATTTTTAATATTTTTTAATATTTATGAATGACAAATATTTGTCCCGTAATTTATTTATTTTTGTATTTTTTGAATAAAAACGTATCAGTTATTATTAAAAAAATTAATAATAAATATTTTAAAGAGTAGTAAAATTTATCAATAATGTAATGACTCTATGGTATAAAAAACACCAAATAATAGTAATATAAATTTCAAATTTAATACCAATTATTATTTAGTTTTTAAAGAAAAATTTGAAACAATAGTAAAATGTTTCCCATGTAAATTTTTTTTATATAAAAATCATATAAATGAGATAATAAAATGATTTAAACTACAATAAATAAAAATATGTAACAAAAAGAGAATCATTCTTGTAGTCATAATTGTAATCGTTCTTGTAGTCATAATTGTATAGTATAAACTGTATAATATAATAATATTATCTTATCATAAATTTATAATTTAACACTATTAATTATATTTTAATATATTTTATTATTTGTTATTGTAATTAATATATTATATTTTAAAAAAAAACATCAAATAAACAAATACTAACTGACTTAAACTTACAAAATAAATTAAAAATTTAATCTTTAATTTGAAATATTAGATAAATTAATTAAACTTAACTCTTATGTATTTAAATTGTTAAATAATAATATTTTAATTTTATATCATTAATATTTCATAGAAAGAACGGTTTACAACATGGAACGTGAATTTTTATTTTAAAAAATAGATACTAAAATTAATAATAAAATATTATAGTATCAATATTTTTTAAAAATTTATAGGTGTTATATTTAAAAAATCATAAACATATTTAATTTTTTAAGGTAATGTTATTAAACAATAATTATTTATACATAAGTAGTTATTAAAAAATAATTATTATTATACATAAATAGTTAAAACACCGTATTAAAATTTATTTATGTTTGTGCTTTTTAATCAAATTAATTAACATTTATTAGTTACTATATAATAATAGAAAATAAAAAGTATTAATGTCATTTATTCTTTCATCTTTTGTAATGTCACAACCGTTCTTCAAAACTGCAATATCTTAGTTAAAACCAATGACGATATTAACTTCGTAACTGTTATTCAAAACTACAACACTTATACAAACCCAAATGATAAACACTGCTATTTAAAGTACGATGATCTGTAAACACCAATGATAAACACTACTATTTAAAGTATGATGTTCTGTATGCAGCAAGAGCATCCACACTCATCAATCACATTTTAGTTCTTTAAATAAGATCCACATAATTTTTATATTATATTACACTTTTATATTTTTTAAACAACTCAACTATATTTTTTAAATATTCATATAACTCATCAAAAGCTCTAAATGGATCTCACCAAATCTCACAATATATCCAACATTTATATTATATAAAAAATAATAATTAAAACAATTTAATTCAAATATATCAAAATACATTAAAAAATTATACATTTAAAATAAAATAAAACAAAACAAAATAAATATATATATTAAAAAAATACAATACATCACACAAATAATTCATTAAAAAACACATTAAAATAAATTATTAGCACAAAATACATAAAAAGATATATTTAACATTGCCATATATGTTCTATCAAGTCTTGTTGAAGTTGTCGATGAATTTGTTTATCACGAATATCAAATCTTCTATGTAAGAACTCTTCAAAATCAATACTAGAATCATCCGACAATATTGTCGCATCATTACTCAAATGATCATAAGAAAAATCAAAATTTCTACCATATGTTGCACGTTCATCTTCAACAATCATGTTGTGTAATATGATGCATGTATTCATTATGTGTTGGAGTGTGTCTAAGTGCCAAGAACGTGATGGGTTACATATGATCGCAAATCGGGATTGGAGAACTCCAAATGCTCGTTCAATGTCCTTTCTCGCCCCTTCTTGATGTTGGGCAAACAATTTTCTCTTATCCCCTGTGGCATCGGGATACTTTTTACAAACGTGGCCCATTCAGGATAAATACCATCTGATAGATAATAACCCTTGTTGTATTCAGTACGATTGATTGTTTAATGAACATCGGGAGCTCGTCCTTGTAGAACATCGTTGAAGACATTGGATTGGTTCAAAACATTAATATCATTGTTTGAACCCGCAACCCCAAAGAATGCATGCCAAATCCATAAGTCTTGTGAAGCCACTGCTTCAAGCATAACAGTTGGTTTCCCATGATCGCCTCGAACGTATTGCCCTTTCAATGCAACTGGACAATTTTTCCATTCCCAATGCATGCAGCCAATGCTCCCTAACATACCTAGAAATCCCCGTGCCTTTCACATTTGCATTAGGCGTTCAATGTCTTTGGCGTTTGGCCTTCGCAAATATTGTGCACCAAAGATGTTGATCACTCCTCTTGTAAACTTATCAACACATTTTAATGTCGTGGTTTCACCAATTCTCAAATAGTCATCCACACTATCAGCAGATGTTCCATATGCCAGCATACGAATAACAACAGTGCATTTTTGTAATAGTAAAAGACTTGCCCTACCTGTTGCATCAACCATCATTCGAAAATACTCATCATGTTGACCTATAGCTTCAACAATACGAAGGAACACATGTTTATGCATTCGGTACCTTCTACGAAATTGCTCATTTGTGTATGCCAGAGTTTCTGAAAAATAATCTTTGAACAATCGATCACGTCCCTCTTCACGATTCCTCTCTATATTCCTTCTCTGTCGTCTAGGCCTTCTAGAACTCGAGGCTTCTTCTTCCTTAAACAATCTCACAAGTTCTTCATTCATGTCATCATTCATATAATCCATGAACATTTTTGCAATGTGGGAAAGATTGGAAGGATCCATGTGAAAAGAAGTTTGATATTTAGTAGAAGATGATAACAAATTGTAAAGAGGTTAGTTTGATATTTATAAGACTACTTTGAATAACGGCTAGTTTGACTTTGAATAACGGCTAGTTTGAATAACGGCTAGTTTGAATACCGGCTAGTTTGAATAACTAATCGTGCTAATTAAATATAAAATACACAATCTTACTAATTAAGTCCATATTTTTCTCTAATCATGTCGCACAACATTTCATGAGCATGTAGTTGTCTTGTATCCATATTTGATGTATCTTTTGAGACTATTTGCAGATCATTCATCTTCAATCTTTCCTCAGCACTCTCAGCCTTCTTAATCTGTGCTTCAACATTTTTTCTCTCTATCTCAACTTTTTCACCCTCAATGCGTGCATAGTCCCGTGCAAACATTGACATCAAATCAATTTTTTTTAAAATCATCTTTCAAAGAATCATATTTGACATTGGGAGTAGAATACATTTCAACAAGCTTTTCTTTCTCCTTCCTTTTAGTTGCCTTTTGACCGATTGGACGGAGAGACAAAGTAGGTGATGATGGATCATGTTCACTGCTCATTTGTGGATTAGAAGATGAAGAATATGCTCCTGAAGTTGAATTCTTTGTTCTTTTTGACGAAGCTTCTGATGAGCCTGCGAGCCATTTAGGTTCATCTTTCAATAATCTCCATGCAGCCTCAAAACTAAACTTTTCACCTTCATCTTGGAAATAAATTTTATATGCAACTTGCATGATATTGCTCTCGGAACTCCCACTTTGTTGTGTAGACATGGCTTGTTTGTAGCATCCAACAAAATTTTGAACAGATGGATTAATTTTGTGCCATCGACCTTTTAGTTGCGTCGGTTTCCTTTCATTGTAATTGATGTCACGATACTTGTTGTAAGCTTCACCGATCCTCTTCCAAAAACTATCTCCTTTTTTATCAACCCCAACAATTGAATCCTTAGAAATGTTGAGCCATGATTGAATGAGAACTTCATCCTCTTTTTGTTGAAACCTTTGTTTATGCATATTCACAACCGGCACAGAAGCAACTTCTTCACCTAAGTTAATAGTCTCCAAGCTATCTTGAGTGCAAAATTGTGGTGTTTCACGTTCTTCATCATTTGATTGCGCACCACTACTACCTATTTGAGTTCCATGAGGCATAGTGGGGTTAGTTGATTGAGATATAAATGGTTGATGTTGATATGGATAAAGTGGTGTATAATATGAGTAATTTCCAAAGTGTTGAATATTTTGTGGATTTGGGATAAACGGAGAGTTTTGAAAATTTGGGTTATGTTGTGAATTTGAGATAAAAGGTGCATTTCCAAAGTATGGGTTCTTTTGTTGATTTGGAATAGAAGGAGGGCAACCACCATTTTGCATAAAATTAGACCAAGAACTAGGTTGATTGAGATCCATTGACAAATAAATATGTAGAAGAAGAATAAACTAGTTGTAAATGTAAATTATAATAAAATTAGTAACTATTTATAAGATTATAAAAATTACCGTTACATTTTTAAAAAGTAAAAAAATAGCCGTTGAATTTGGCAGATATTTGATCCAAAAATTATGGCATATAACACATATATTAATCATGAAAAAGTAGTCATTTAAAATTTGGCATATGTTTGATCCAAATATTACCGTTACTCTTTACATTAAAACTAATAAAAAGCAATTGTTACAAATAATATAAAATGGTTATCGGAAAGCTAGCTGACAATTCAAAACGTTTATGCAGAAAACTACAGTCACAAACCAAACCACCATACTTTTATTGAATTATCCAACAATCCTGACAAAATATTCTTGGTTTTTGTGTAGTAACATTTTACAGCAGGCGATAATTATGCTCTAAGGTCGAGATGAAATTATCATTGCAGTCACTCACTGTTGATTCCAGAAAGTTTATAAGGTTCTGCTTCAATAGGAGATGGTGGAGATTTCCATGGCACAAAATTAACAACAACGACATGTATGCCACCAAAAATGAAAGTGACAGGAATGGGTTTTTGAGCTGTAGAACATCAAGTAGGGAAAGAAATATTAGCTTCAGGAATTATTAAATGGTAAAAATATCAATGCAAAAAACAAATCATATAGGTCTATGTAACCGAAACTGAAAGCAAAACAAAATTGAAACAAAAATGAAATCAGTAAAAAAATGTCAAAATTATTTAAGAGAATAACTATTTTGAATGGTCTCGCTATTTTCAGTTGAAAAACTAGTTAAAAATGAGGAATCTAGGTGAGATGTATGATTTGCTAGAAAAAGAAAGAGAAGGAGAAATGAAGATGGTTGAGAGTTGATACAAACTAGTAAAGTGATAAAGCTTGTTTTATCTTCTTTTGCGAATGAGAAATGGTTGAAGATGGGAATGAAAAAGGATGAACAATTGTAAACTGAGAGGAGAACGACGCATAAAATGGTAGAGAGAAACTTTACCTAAAAAATTTTGTACATTGAAAATGATAAAGGTTATCCATGTCTCATCTGAGCAAAAACATCATTCATAGTTGTTCCCCAAACCCAAAGTCTTGTTACAGAAAAAATAAAATATCATTTTGTTTGCAACTTAGAAGACAGATATTTGGCACAAAAGTGGTATATGTAGTGCAATTAGTATAGTTATGTTGTAATCAGCCCGTAATCTGATTGAATTTAGTTGAAATTAGACACAAATTATTCATATAATTACGACATTGCATGATTAGAATAAAGGTTAAAATAGATTTAACCCAAACAATCTATCTTCTTGTATTATAGATATTTTGTAACCACCCATTTTATTTCTAAATTCATTTCTATTGTATGAAATTTTACTATGTATAATGGATGTAATTTCTATAAGTAATGCACAAAAACGAATATGAAGGGGCACCACTTTGACACCAATTTCATACCAGGCTCCATAGAAAACTCTTTTAATAGTTTGCTACTTAGCCTACTTCATAATAGTAATCAAATTATATTGTTTTTAAATTGTATTTTCGTTAAATTTAATTAGTATGTACAGATAGTGTAAAATAATCAGTCGTATATATTTCACTAAATCATACTGTAAAATTTAAATTAATAATATGACATGACATATTAATAAATTTCTATTAGATGACACAATATTATTTCTCTTAAATTAATTTAACTCTTTCTGTATAACAATTACTCCGATTTTCATTGAAATCCTTTGCCTTAACTTGAAAAACAAAGGCCATAAATTTACATACATGTTTTTGAGATTGTCAAGTAGTTAGCCCCTTTTAATATGTTTCCTAATACATTTTGAACTAGACGGTCTCTTATTGCTTTTCACTCTTTAGGTAGTTTGTTATGAATATATTTATTTAATTATTTGTCTTTACTTGTTTCTTTATTTGGATATATTTATTTTTCTTCATTTAACTCTTTATCTTTGTCATCAATTGTAGTCTTGTCTTTTAAGAGAGTTTCTTTTGCACAATCAAACACTTGTACCTCTACTACAAAGTTGAGGTTAGCTTCCTAAAAATTAACCTATACATATTTTTCTATATTGAGGTTCATTTGTTAAAAATACAAAAGTATTTAATAGAAGTAAATTATCCAATACAGGGACATCAATCAAATTTAGCGTCAAATTTACTATGGTTATCCTTTCCAGTACTAAGAACAAAGCATTTGATACTAGAGACATGAACGTGAGAAATATCTAGCTTCCTTTCTTTATATATTTTATAGGGCATTAAATTTAAAGTTAACCTTATTAAGACACCATTGGTTACATATCAAGCAGTACATATTGCATCAATCCATATATATTTGGAAATGTTAGTTTCTTTGGTAATCGTCTTCGCTATCTCATTAAGAGATCTATTTTTCTATTCTACTATCCCATTTTGTTATGTAATTTCTGAAGAAGAAAAATATGTTCTATGTTATTCTCAAAACAAAAGTTTTTGGATTTTAAATTTTAAATTCACCTTAGTTATCGCTTCAGGTAGATGCAAACACATAAGGATCAACTAGAGAGCATATTTATTTTCTATGACAAAAGAACATTGATTATAATGCTTGTTGGGGAGTCCGAGAGAGTTGGGAGCACCAATGAAACCAATGGTCCAAAACCACAAGAGAAAGAGACACCATATCTCAACCAAAAACCTTAAAGTGTTAGGTATGTGGATCCTTTCTCTTATGAATCCAACATATCATCCATTGATAGGCAATGTAAGATTTTAACCACTCACATCCTATAACAGGATCAAACACCGTATCCAACTCCTACTCCCCCACAAAACTGAACCCTAGCTCTGATATCACTGTTAGGTCATCATGAGTAGCATCTACATTGAGTCAAGAACAACAAACAAGTGAGAGAGACACCACATATTCATCCAAAACCTTAAAGTGATAGGTGTATAGTTCTGTCACTTATAAAGTGTTTGACCTCCACTTTTCTAAGTAATGTGGGTCTTCCAAGTCACACTTGTACACAAAAATATTTCTCTCAAGTGTGAGTCCATCCATTATGCTCCTCCTCAAGCGGAAGCTCTTTCATCCACATACACTTGTACCTCTGTTGACACTTTACAACTAGCCACCTCCAACCCAGTAGAGAATTTTAATACAAGTAAGTCGATCCCTTCACTCGAACCAAAGGCTCATAATACCACTTTTGGGGTTATTTGGAGGGGGGTTAATACGGGGAGCATTTTTATTTAGGGTCTTCCTTTCTTATGAGTAACACACCTTTGTGAGAGACACACTACATACTCACCCAAAACCTTAAAGTTTTGAGTGAGTATGTGGTATGTCTCTCACAAAGGTGTCATGTTCTTAAAGAAAAATCCTGAATATTGATTAGGAAACTTATCTTCATAGAGCATACACCTTACTCCCTCGACTAGTGTTCGATTCATCTTCTTTTATACTCTTAGTTGATTATAGTGAAGTTATTTCTTTAGTTTGGATGACTTGTGCTTTCTACTCTCATATTGTGGGGTTTTCC